TGTCGTTTTCCCCGCCGCGTAAAACGCTCGACAGTCAAATTAATTGAAAGTTTTAAGGTAATTGGAATCGATAACGGCGAGGTGAATAAGAGCCACCCCGGCGAGCCTCGCCGCCAAACTCTCCCCCTCCCGAAGGGGTGGTCGGTTGAAGGGTTCACCGGAGGAGGAAGTTCTTGTTTCCTCGTCCGTGCCTTCGAGGAAGTCGAAAAGAGAGACGACCAAGGGGAACGGAACGGCCCTCCCTGTCATATTCCTCTCCTTAAGTACCAGGATCCACCCCCTCCTCCCACGCCTACCACCTCCGATATTGTATATTCCGGGGAAATGGGGAAGGGGGTGTGGGTCGATTAGGTCCACTTTAATATCCCGCCACCATCCAATCGGTCTAATTGGAGTCGAACCTACGAATTTCATTGGGGAGGGGAGAGGGTGATGCGGTCTGCCGGATCGTAATGTTCTTAATACGCGTATGCAAGGTGGGTCGAGAAGGGAGATTTCGTGGAAGGGAAAGGAAAGGAATTTTATTTGAATTCGGAGAATTTGGAGAAATCCTTTAGGAATCGAAAGGTATAAGTAAGGTTCCCTTACTTCTTAATTTCGAATTTAGAAACGGATGGTCCGAGGATCGACAATTCTAATTTTCGTTGAGAAAGAACGGAGGAGGATTAATCAATGAATTCGAGAGGAATTCGCGTAAGGTGAATAATATTCGCGCGAATTACCTTTATGCACGGCGAGGGGGAGGGGGAGAATAATCCAGGGGAGGCCGAAGGGGATCGTTACTTACGCGTCATGAACCCTCTTAGCGATTCCTCCCCCCTCTCCTCCGATAGCACGCGAAAGAATAGCCCCGATTTTCGGCCACAATTTTCTTCCTTCCAGCAAATTAATCTAGCTTTTACCGTAGCTGATACCGTCTCGAACATTAAACGCGGGACGGTAGACGTACGAAACGGGCAATAGCCCCTTGTTCCACCCCCTTTTATACCTCCTCGAAAAATGAGCCTTTATTTCATCGGTGGAGTGTAAGGAGAAAGAGAGAGAGAGAGAGAGAGACGGCCACTTCTGCCATCTAAATGGTACGAGAAACGAAAAAGAGAGAGAGAGAGAGAGAGAAGGGTAGGGAGACTCCTCTCTTATAGAGAGAAGACGGTACCCCACAGTCGGACCAAACTCCCGTCCACCTAATGCAATGGTTTATTGCTAATATTTCTTCACGAGTAATATCGGTTCGCGCCTCTTCGGCTACAAGTTTCTCTTATATTCCGACGCGGAGGATCCTACGCCCTATTTACATTCTTCGGGTTCTTTTACACCCGGGTGATTTCCAAAAAAAAAAAAAAAAAAAGATCGAGTCGAGATGAAAGTATTAAAACTCGTTTTGGGGGATCTCGTTTCATATTCCAAGTATACCTATTATCTTATTTTTTAACGTATGGCAAAGTAGTTTGATTTTAGGAAAAAAGATAACTTTATGAAAGTTAAAGGAATCGTTTGTTAACAAAATCTGAAAAAGTATGCCACGTATATACGTATAGTGACAAATATTAGAAAGAGAGCTAAAATGTGCAAATTCTCGTCAGAAAGAAAAAGAAGTTGAACTAAAAAAGAAAATTGTAATAGAAAAATGGTGGAAAATGAACAGCAAAAGAAGAAAAAGAATGGAATAACCGTAACCGAGGAGTGTAGAAGTGATCAGGTACAAACGAGTACACGTTGCAGAAGCAGAGAGGGAGATTAAACGTGGACCGGCATAGACGTGGTGTTCTATTCGGGCGAAACGATTAAACGTAACGAGTGCCACTATTGAGTAAGAACGTGCGAGCTGCAAACGAGGCAAAGAGACGGGCGAGGGATCGGCGGACAACGCGGCCTTTCAGCCGGGCCTCCACCGACATTAATAGCTTCCAGAATTAAACGACGACTCGGCCAACGTGGCCCGACGACTCACGTACCGACGTATACGTCATTGTCGACGGTGACGCGCGCCATCGTCGTACGCCTCTCTCTATCGTCCGCCCGACCGACAGTAAGAATAATCTAACCGTTTAATCATCGAACTTCATTTCTGCAAACTGTGCAACAGAAAGAGAGAGAGAGAGAGTAGTAAAGGGGAGAGTAAACGATAAATACACGAAGGAGAAACGATAATGCGCCGAAAGAACAATTATTTGGATTATTTGGAGAGAGTGATGATTGGAGAGATTACGGAAAAATCGTATTTTGTTAAATTTCTTTTTCTTTCTGTCACTCTTGTGTATGTTTGTGTGTGTGATCATCGAAATAAATTTGAAGGTGTTTTTAATGGGAAGAAAAGAATATTTAAAGAAGTAATGGGCGAGATTGTAAAAGGTGGTAATATTATTTTCCTTATTTTATTTCAACTTTTTACGCTTTGTTATCTCTTTAATATTTCTAAATGTACTTTCAACGGTGTATTTCAAGTTATTGACGTATTGTGTTTCCAGTTTTGAGTAAAGAAATATTGATCTCGCCAATTCTTAAATTCATTATCCAGTGAAATGTCCATTTGAGAGATAATCACACGCACTATAACATGACAATTGAAAATTTTGCCGAAACCAAAGAAAAATATTCCACCGCCAATTTTATCTTCAAAAATCGAAAATCGACTATCTCTTCAAATTCTCAATCAAAATACATTCCAAACTAAAAAGAAAAAAAATCCATTCTCTATTCCATAAAATAATCCTCTTGTTCAAACTCGACGATTAAGAATATCGAAACTCTGAAACGACCTTCCACGAAGAAAATAGCAACGATCGATCGCGCACCTCCTGTTTCATCTAATCACAAGCGGCACACGCGTTCTTCACGCGTGTCGTTTCACGTTCCCAAAGTTCCCTCCCCCCCTCTTCCCTTAAACTCTGTCGTAACTATTAGCAGGAGGAGAAAAAAAAAAAAAAAAAAAAAAAAAAGAAAAAATTTCCAATTTTCGCGCGAGAATATCCTCCACCCTTCTTCGAGAAATCGTTCCTGATCCATCAAACTCGTCCACCGTAAGTTTTTCATCCCCTCCCCTCCTGTTGAGTAATTGTCGCTATTAATAACTGCAAATTCAATCCCCCACGGATCCAATATCCATCGCCGGATCGGCCGCGCCCCGATCGTATCTCCTTCTCCTCCTGCGTGTACCTCCCCCTCCCCCTCCTCCCCCCAGTAGTAGTAGTAGTTGCTCCTCCGGAAGAAATTTATACGGCGACAGCTTTATTAGAAGTCGTCCCTAGTCGTTACGCGAAATTGAAAGTCAGGGGCGAAATGGAGGGCGTCAATCCCATACCGGAGGAACAAATATTTAGAAATATGAAAAATCGTGAAATCGTGGATTTGCATGGGTAACGAGGAATCGAATTAGGAAAGAATTTCATCGATAAATCTAATCTGACACGATTGGATCGGACAGGTGGTTAAATCGTAGTGATGGCGCGTCGTGCATCAACGAGGATCGCAGGTGTTGTCCAATGAATGAAAAAAAAAGGAACGAAATAGATCCGATCAATGGTTATGATCTTTCGAAACTTTGGATGATCGCTCGTAATTACTGGTCAACCCCTGCCGATAGAATGCAATTGATACGAATACGAACGAAAAAATAATTTTACGAGAATTCAACAAAAAGAGACCAATTTTGTTGGATAATTACAATCGCCTTACGCGTCTCAATTTTGAATTTCGAATTGAATCGTCTTCGATATCGAAAGATTTTATAAAAATAACACGCACGGATAGATATAGGTATATATATATATATATATGGTATGTGGCAAGCTGGTGTACGCTGGTTAGAATAAGGACGACGCTTAGCAGCCACGTAGGATAGCCAAAAAGCGGATAATATTACACGGGGAGAGAAGGGGAGGGGAGGAGTGAAGTGTGAACTCGATTATACAATGGTTAGTTACCTTGATACTGTCGTAGCAAGCGGTGACCCGTCCGTTCTGCACCTCGACGTTAGCCGGTGGATGGGCGAACTTGCACTCCGTGTCGGGCCTGGTGCACTTGTTGCGCTGGAACTCTCTGCAAACCTCTAGCTGCAGCCACCGGGAGTCCTTGCCGTTCAGCAGGTTATTCATGTTGACCATTGCCATAATTCCAAGTCCTGGAAGACCGTGGGACTTATAACTTCCTCTTCGAAGCGAAGGATAACACAAAAGTCCGGCTATTCGACCCGACTTTTCAACTTTATCTCTCTCCTCTTCCTCTCGATCCCCACGTAGCCTGTTCACGGTCGCGTTCACTCGCACCGTCTGATCGCAGCCAAGGATACAATTGTTTTTTTTTCTTTATTGAGACCGGCCCACCAAACTCATTGGCACTTGGGGGAATCTCCCGTCGAACTGTGGAGAAAACGCGCGAGCCATCCGTCTCATTCGCGCCTCTGCCTACTCGATCCGTTTCCGCTTTCGATCAAACCGCTCTCTCCCTCCCCCTCCCCCCCC